CAGACCAACGTCAAACTTAGCAGTTACTTTGTGCCAGTAAACGCACTTTCCCGTTAGATACTGTGCAGTACTGTTCTAGTCCAAGTTCTCAAGTCTTCGGCCACGTACGAAGTCGGTGGTTAGTAACCAGTTGCGAAAGTAACATAATTATGTTTTATATAATTTATTTTTCGTTCATCGATTCAGGCGTCACGATGGCTTTAATTTGAAGACTAAATTAAGATATGTATACTAATTCCATGATAATCCATATGATCCAGGATAATCCATGGTAGTTTTAATAAGGCGACTTCGATCGTTAGTGATTGAGTGAATGAATGAATGCGATCACTGCCATTCTATTGACACTCTGTTAAGATTCAACTGCCATTGAAACTAGATTTCTTATTAGGAGTAGACCTCATTATGAAAGAGTTCAAGAGAAGTATTGCCACTTTACCTATTTCTGCCATCAAGCAGTAATATGAGCATACTGCGCTCCGGTTTTGAAGGGTAAGGACACTGGTGAAATTACAGGCACATGGGACTTGTCAATGTATGTCTCAGGATAACTGGTGTAGAGTCAGTGCCCCTCAGAACTTTGCAATTTAAAGTTGTGAATGGCACTGAAACTGTTATATATAAGCGTTACTTGTTCGTCCCGCCACTTGATATTTTAAAAAAAATGTTAGAGAATAACAAATATTATTTATTAATTTAGACATTTATTTCAGGCGACATGACCCATATAATATATACCTTAAGAACTAGCATACATACAATATAATACGACGATAAACTATAAACTATATATAAACTAACCTACACGTAATGCACTTGCCGGTGACGTGTGGCGTATTCTGGTGTCAGGTAATCGGTCGCGGAATCGCCAATATATCCGATAGACCCGAGACAATGTAGACAAGTTTTCTACGTTGACCCGGTCGGAGTTCGAACCCGGGACCTCAGAGATGGCAACACCATAAAAACCGGTCTGCAAGCCACTCGGCTACGGAGGTCGTAATAATTATAACAAACAAGTGAACTAATTTCACAAAAAAAATAATATAAAGACTGTGAGTGTGAGAGATTCATTACAATTCATATTTTTTAATGTACTGGAAATATGCGGTACAAGTAAAATCAAGCAATGTTTGTACTGGTTATATGTTTGCATGCTTTTAATATAAATAACTTATTCGATTTGAAAGTAGATTCTTCTGTTTGAACTAGTTAAGTTGAGTGATTCATTGTAATCCTGTCACAATTGCCGTACATTGTAACTATGTTACTCTTCTACTAAATGCTTTACTAGGACATCGTAATAAAATTTAAACAATGGGACACTATTCCTTTAAGGACTTTATTTGAGTACTTGTATTAAATACGACCAAGCTAGTACATACTTGACGACGACCTGCGTGGTCGAGTGGCTTGCCGGTATGGTTTCATGGTGTCACTATCATTGAGGTCCCGGGTTCGATCTCCGACCGGGTCAATGTAAAAACTAACTTTCTATATTCTCTCGGGTCTGGGTGTTTGTAGTATCGTCATTGTTTACGATTTCCATAACACAAGTGCTTTATTATAATTATTATAACAATAATCAAAATACTAAGAAAAATTCATTCGATTCGGCCGGATTCGTACCAGCACCCCCAGGCAATCCGTGCCAGATGCTCTGGAAATTAAGCCACGGAACGAACCAGCAGACTTTACAAATCTTTCTATGTGCTTCTTAACGATCTTTGTTTTTTATTTATAACGACTTTTTTCCCGTAGTGACATCTGTGAGAGATTTATATCTTCACTCAGAGAGGCACTTTACAGCTACCATCGCTGACCAGAGATGTCGCTTTAATCATTGTAATTTTCAAGTTTTTATTGAATAATAACTGCCTCCGTGGCCGAATGGCTACCATGCCGGACTGCCACGCAGAGGTCCCGGATTCGATTCCCGGGCCGGGAGAAATATTTGTATGGCCTACATTTGTTTCTCTCGTGAGTTTGGGTGTAATTTGTGGTTGTCTATATGTGTAGCAATGGCACCCGCGAGGGTTTTCTTATTGCGGGGCTATGTTGAGTTTGTGCGTAAAAAAAGTAAAATTAAAAAGAATATCATGTTCCTCTACCATGATATTAAACTATTTTATTTATCATTTATTTATTTATTCAGTTTTTCGAACTTTGCTATAATAATGTTATCAAACTAGTGGGGTAATTTCCCTTTTTTTTTATAATAATAAGTGATGGGACGAATAAGTTGTGCGTCTGATGGTAAGCTACACGCCTGTCTTTAACAGTTACAGTGCCACTCAAAGCTTTAAATTGTAAAGATCTGGGGGCACTAGCTGTGCCCGTCACCTTGAGACAAAAGTTGACAAGTTCCATGTATCTGTAATTTCACCAGCATCCTTATCCTTCAAAACCGGAACACGGTAGCGCTGTTTTAAAAAAATGAAATATTTAATTTTAAAATGTAGTTAATGTTGACATTTAAAGAATTAACGTATTAATTACAGCTGCTACAAGACAATTACATTTGTCAAATAAAATTGACACCTTATGTGCTCTTATTGAATACAAAATAGCTCAAACGTGCCGTTTAATACACCGTCCGTATGATTTTACTATAGCAATGAATTCCAGTTTCATACATTGTCTCAGATAGCTTACTCCGGACTTGCCGGACAAGATATTTGTTCTTTATAACCTCATATCGTTTGGGTCTTAGCCAACTCTATATTATGTCCTAAAATAACTTTATGACATCGTTTGACCACACGATAGAGCAGCCAATTGATTTCTGTATGATTAATGATATGATCTACCTCCACGTACACTATCCGGTAGAAAAAATCTTGCAGGGCGATGTATCGCCTTAATTAACTTTTGAGTTTTTTTATATTGAAATTCTTGTATTACCGCACTAAGTTATCAACCTTGACAGTAGATTAGATAGAGATGTATTTAAATATTTGTATTATTTGTAAGAAAGTAAAATCTGATAAATTATTAAACGTCAAGGAACTAACTTTGTTTATAGGAAATGAAACTATTTTTCCGGTTTTAAATCGCGTATATTTGTTTTTTCAAACAAACTGACGTTTCGGGCCTTTTACAGGTCCCGTGGTCACGGTTGATTGAAAAAACGGTTGATTGAAATCCGGAAAAATAATTTCGTTTCCTATGTGTAACAATCGCGAAAACCTAAGACCTAACTTTGAACTAAGTTTGAACTATGAACTAACTTTGTTGTTTATGACGTTAGTAATATAGTTTTGCAAAGTTGTTAGTATTTTCATGATGTTAATAATATAGTCTTTCGAGGCTGTTAGCATTTTACAAATAATCCTGTATATCTACAGACCGCCCTCATTTTTAAAGAGGAACGATAAAATTCACACAAAAATTTGGTAAAACATCGCCTTAAATTGCGTAAATTAAATAACCCTTTTTTTAGTACGTTACTGAAAATTAAAAGTAAATTGAAGAGCAGGCTGTGACCTATTTGTTTGTGATACTGCAATTATACTCGGTCTCAATGTGGCACGATTTCTTCGGCCGTTTTTCTACGTGAAATGAATCGTTTTTCTTGGAGTTTTTTTAAGGTTTTCCTCAATCGAAGATTAATTGTCAGACAGATTTTTAATGAAATCTCGACTGAACTGAATTTGAGATTCTGATGCTGTATTTAAATTCAATTTATTAAAAGGTTTTTTTTGGAAATCCAATATTTGAGGGAAACAGTAACACATAAAGTAATACAAAAAATATAACTAGTATTGCAGAACGCGATGTGGACATTGTGATGGTTTGACGAAAACTGTTATTTGTCAGTCTGTCGCTTTTCTACAGAATATACTATTTACTCATGTGCGTGTGTCGAAGGGCTCTATCAGGTCGCTCCGATCTCCTCCTTTTACCATCGTAACAGAAGAGCTCCTTGTGAAAGGAGAAGTCCAGGAGAAGTACGACCATCTTACTTATTTTTGCCGCCAAGCAGTAATGTCAACATTACTGGGTTCCGGTTTTGAAGGGTAAGAGTGCTGGTGAAATTACAGGCACATGGGACTTGTCAGCTTATGTCTGAGAGTGACGGGCGCAGTGGCGGTGCCCGCAGATCTTTGTGATTTAAAGCTCTGCGTAGCATTGCAACTGTTATGGACAGGCGTGTATCTTACCATCAGATGCACTACTTGTTCGTCCCGTCACTAGATATTATAAAAAAAATAAACTATTCGGACATCTAGACGTACGACGAGATGTCATCCATGCGTGGTCGATATTTCTTTTACCATGCACAGCACAGGAATGGAATTATCACCTGCAACTGTGTTTCTGAGTATATAAGTACAACTTGTTTTTAATTATATCAAATGACGGGACAAATAATTCGTACGCCAGATAGTAAGACACGCCTGTTCATAATTGTCTCAGTGGCCGGACGGTTATAATGCCGGACTGTGACGCAGAGGTCTTGGATACGATAACCAGACCTGGAGAAATATGTTTATGGCCTACACTTATTCTCTCGTGAGTTTGGTACCACAATTGTGGTTGTCTATGTGTGTGTCCATGGCACCCGCGACACAGGGTTTCCCTAGTGCGGGGCTATGAGTGTGTTGCGTTATTATTATATTTACAGAGCTTCCAATCCAAAATCGACACTGCCACAGCGCCCGTCACCCTAGCTAGACATAAGCTGACAAGTCCCATGTGCCTGTAATTTCACTCTTCAAAATTGGAACGCAGTAATGATCACATTACTGCTTGGCGGCAAAAATAGGTGGTAGTAAGTCTCTCGACGAACTCTTTCACAAGGAGCTCTGCTGCTACTAAAAACTCGAGTATCTTTAAGATGTGATTGAATAGGCATAATATTCTGGGCGAGTTCGTTCTATCGTAGACCCTGTTTTTGTTTCAGGGCCAGGTATAGGTCAAATGCAAGTCCATTTACTTAAAAAAAAACTAGTTTCGAATTTTGAACTTTATTTATGAATAAAAATGGCAAGTTCTGTTTGACAAAGTTAAAGTTTTATACAATATATAAAGCATTACTACATAAAATATAAAAATATAAAATACAAAAATATCAAAATTATTCAATCTGTAAAAAAATAATTAATTATACCATTTATGTACTTTATCCCATTACACTTGTACCTCAGTTGACTCATATTTCGGTGGAGGATCTGCTGCATTCAATACTTCATCAGAAACACGAAATTCATACTTATTACTGTTATCTTGAGGAATCCTAATGCGATGCATTTGAGGGATCAGTCTAGGTCCAAATCCGTAATAGGGTATCAAGACACGTGGGAGTCGTTTCGACATTTCGTAGTAGCATATACATACGAGTGGCAGAGTCACGATGGGTGACACTGAAAATGAAAATTTATTTGTTATTTGAAACCTTCATCATCAATCTACATACTTCTCATTCAGTAAGGGCATGGACTTTCGTTAAGGCGAGGTTGAAAGTTTATTTACCACGCTGATCTAATGTAGATTAGGAACTTTACACGTCAGTATCAGGTTCTATGTTTTTATTATATCGTCTTTGCGAATTTAAAACCTCTTATGTATCATTTTGGTCGATACGAGTTTTGTAAATAGTTGAAAAGCATTTTTAAAGAGTAACTGTCTGAAAAAACTTGAATATCTTCTTATTTCAGTGAGTTACTTATTACGTTTAAGATTTCTTAAGTGTTTGTCCACATTTAATTGTTTATCAAAATCTCCTGTGTGCCTGATGAGAACATAACAGGTTTTAATAACAACTTCGTTACAAAAACTTGCAATCTCCTATGTGATTAGTGATTCACTTATTAAAAAGAAAACACTATATTACGTCAAATACGCATAAAAGTGAGATGGGTTATTATTATTAGAAACAAAACATTCGCTGGTTAGGTCAAGGTTAAGCGTGCATCATTCATCAGTGTCGTTGCAACGTTTTTGGTTTTTTAATGACTTTTTGTCGTAGCGCCATCTGTGAGAAATCTATGAAAGTTTTTCTTCCTTTACCTTTACATTGATTCGAATCCAGCTGAATCGAAGGAATTTTTCTACGTGTTCGATCTTTGTATTACTAGTTATAACAAACTAGTGGAGTAATTTCACAAAAAACAATTGAATATCATGGCAAAACATCGTGATAGGAATACATAAACTTAAAGTTTTCTTTTTCCAATTTTTTTTGGGTACAGTGTGATTTATTAAAGGCAGAGTGAGTGATAGTTGTAGTAGCGTAGAACGAAATAGAGACTTCTAATAATTTCATAAACTATTGCGTGAAACGGAGCTACGCAACAGTTTGTGAAATTATTAGAAGTAAATGTTAATAAGATTTAGATAATTTGTGTTTTATATAAGTAAAAAATATATTACAATGTTTATTTTTATTTAACATTACCTTTCTTTAATACCTGATATTCATATATTTTTTGTGAAAATAGTTTGTTGTTATTATGGATACAAAAATCAAAGAAACACAAAGAAAAATACCTTCGATCCGGCTGGACTATCGGAACGAAACAGCAGACCTGACAAATTACTCTATGCTTTTACGACTTTCTTGCCGTAGCACCACTTGTAAGAAATCTATGAAAGTTTTTCGAAAGGAACGCGATAGCCCCAGTATGGTGAAGTCGCCGCCGGTTCGGGTTCAGTCACACACTCAACATAGCCCCGCACTAGGGAAACGCCGTGTCGCGGGTGCCATGGACACACACTAGACAACCACACATTACACAAACTTACGAGGGAAATAATGTCCGGGAATTAAACCTGGGACCTCTGCGTGGCAGTTCGGCATAGTAACCGTTCGACCACGGAGGCAGTAAGGTAGTCAGATTGAAGGCATTTTTCTTTTTTCTTGTTCGGTCTTTGTGTCAATAATAAAACTTATTTTGTTAATAAAAGTGAAAATGCTTTTATTTTCTCGATACTTCTATTCAATACTTTTTAGCAACATCATCATCAACCCATTAATACGTCCCATTGTTGGGCATGGGTCTCCTCTCAGGCGAGGGTTATAAGCCATGGTCCGCCAAGCTGGTCCAATGTGGGTTCGAGTTTTATAAGTTTTCCGAAGGTCGTAAATCTTCTTCGTTGTGCAGGTTTCATCAATATGTTTTCCTTCACCGAAAAGCTCAATGAACCTCAATGAAATTAAATGGTTTTTGTCATAGTTCGTCAATCAAAACTGAAGAAACAATTTTCTTTCGACAAGAAGTGTTTTTCTTCAGTTTCTCTTACAGCTTTTATCAACAACATATTTTAAATGTGGCGCAATAACTTGGCCCATATAAGCCGAGATCCAGACCTGTTAAGAACATTTATATTCCTTAATAAATTCCACTAGAATTCGTATCATTCCAGCGAGCTATTGAGGTAATTTAAGGTGAAAGATAGAGGAGACACCGCTCTTGTTATTTATGTAAATGTGTTTTGTGTACTTACTTTTAGTAATAATAAGTAATATGAATGTCTTGTATCTATTTTGAAGCACGTCGCTCATTTCGAAGTTTACGTAGTAAAATAAAACTATACATATTTGTGCGTGGATTATGGTGTATCCTATAAATGTTTTCACGTATGCGCGATTAACCTGTAAATATAATAAAGAAAAATACTGTGAAATATATAACGAAAGTTTACATTATTTTACGAATATACATACGTACATTCGATGTTCTAAGATGTCTGACCCCTTAGCCAACCTTTTGGTTCTGGTAGTGTTCTTGTGCATTTATAGTTGAAATTTGTATTCTGTATATAAGTAAGATCAAATTGGCTTAAAAAAATCTTAAAACTTAATTTACTAATGATGCAATAAAGAAAGTCATACCAAAATGAATTCTACGGCTCACCTTAACATTTTACTTCAATTATCTACTCAGAACCAAATAGGCGATTAAGGGCTCAAGTATCTTAGGTTATCTACTGTGCATATACTTAGTATCAAACTGATCTGGGGATGATCGCGGATGTTCAAAACGATTATGATGTTCAAAGTCAAGGACGTAAAGTCAACGCCAAATTTTGACACCGGCGAAGTGGTCGTTATGATTGACCAAACAGTGAATAACCTATCGCAAACTCTGGCAGTCGTACACCGAATTACGATTACGAAGTACTGGAATGAAATTTTGATACAGCTTTATACTGTATAATATTGTACCGTTTCTTTCTAAAAAGTCGTGTTATTTTGAATAGAGTGACAAAATGTAAGAATTCTTAGAAATATCGGGTGAAAAAATGGCTGGTTTTTAAGTTTTTATTCTAAGTATTTTTTTAAACATGTTGAGTTTCTTAATTATTTGTTATCCTTTTAAGTTCATGACTCTATAGCTAAAGCTTGCTAAATAAATAAAAAAATAATGCAAATGTCGGATTTGATACCCTCAATCACTCGTAAACTTATGAACAACCATAACTATAGGGCACCGGGCGGCGGTAGAAAAATTTGTTATTTGCGTTGAAAAATTGCTTACAATGAATGCCTTTGGGATCGGTCACCCTCTTGAACGATCAAACAAACAAATCCAACGTGTTAAGTATTCGCTCAGATTTCTGCGTGCTCAAAACATTTTCAGGTTTGGCAAAAAAAACCTCCGCTTTTAATACTGTGCATGAATAAGATTGCAATGTACACCTCACATAGTATAATTTATAAGTATCGGTATATTTGAATTTATAATATTAGTTTATAATATTTTTCCCTCTTTCTATCTCGCACGATGTTGCACGCTTATGACTTTTGCTCTCACTGCCTTTGATTTAATTATGATATTAAGTGACAAGACCAATAAATCGTGCGCCTGGTGGTAAGCGACACGTGTCGCCTTTTGTAAAATTATTTTTTTATATTTGTTTTGTGCAATAAACAATATATTCATTACCATAATTGACGACCTCGGTTTCTTCCAGTTCTGGTCTGGTCTGTGTTCTGTGTAAATACTCCGAAGTGATTTTTGTTGCTCCGGTATTCATAAGACAGGGAATTGGTGTGGTTGTTTAGCGTATAATAATGTCGATATGATCAAAAGTACAGCCTAATATGAGCAATCTGAACATATAGATAATATTGACCATTTTCTATACATATTTTTGTAAACACTTAAACCGGGTACTCACTAGCGAGCTGTAACCGTAACCATTGCATGTTATGTAATCAAAAATAATAGTGTGTACTCGCGAGTTTGCCGCGTGCGGTTCGCAGTGAGCCGGCTGATTGAAGACTGTTTCAAGCGTACACACTAGAACCTCGTTACTGTATCTGTCACTTTACAGTTACAGCTCGCTAATGAGTACCCGGCCTTAGACGTAATTAATAGATTCAAACTTTTGTTTCTTTGCGAATGTCCATGTTAATAAAATTGGAGGAAAATTTATATAACAATCAACAACCCCTGAGGATGCCTCGTATAGAGGCGAAACAGGTGTCGGGTATATATTTGGTGGTGGTGTCTGTGACTGTACTTGGGCTTGTGCTATTTATTTTATAATTTTATGCGGAAGAAGTGTGGGAGAATTAACTGCATGAAAAAATATTTCACACAAGCGCATTTTCACAAATTAATTTTCTTCAATTTTTATTGAGAATTAGACGCACAGGTGACACGCCATATAGCGTCTAATGCTTTTAATTAGGAGTTTCACCGTGTAGGTCTTTTAGATACTGACTAAACGTCTTTATAGACAACCGTTCCCGATAATTTGAAACATTTTCTATTAGTAAATTATTATTTCATCTTACCATATAGTTTACGAGTTAGATAATTTATATTTTAACACCAATGTGAGTTGGGAATTTTATTCACATGCTTACAAAGAATTTTGCGAACGTGCATGCCATTTTCCTTATAATGTTTTCCTTTACCGTTGAAATAAGAGGTAGTTAGGAATCGAATACAAAATTCTCCCAATGCGTCTTTTTTTGTACAGAGCCACGTTTACGACACGTTTACAATATTCACATCGTCGCTTCTGTTATTTTTGCTATATCTTATTGTATATTTCGAAGTTTAGAAACCTGACCTTGTCACCACCAGTAACAACTGATAAAAAGTTATTACTGGTAACAGGAAGAGTACGTTATTGACAAGGCTCCGAAAGTCAGCAAATTGTGAACAAGTATGAGAATCACACACGCACGCACGCCCGCAAGCACGCACCCACGAAAGAACGCACGCACGCACGCACGCCCGTTCGCCCGCACACACGCACGCACGCACGCACGCAAGAACGCATGAACATAAATTTGCATTATCTACAACTTCACTTTTGTTTTTTATTTTGCTTTGATCTTGTTTTCAGATACAGGTTTTCCTAGTTCAGGGGACAGCCTCCGCATCCAGATTATACTGTATGTTACGTAAAGCATCTATTTTGTTTTTACGTGCACTGTTTGTGGAGACAATAAATGATTTATTTTTATTATTATTACATAGGGCGCACTATAAGTTTCCGGTTTTGGCCCCTAACATAAACAATATTTAAAAAGTAATAACAACATTTGAAAATAGAACTCTTTGGCTGTAAAATACAGTTTGTTTCATCTGACTGTCACTTGTTTTTACATGGTGGCGTCATTTTAGAAATTGGTTGTCTACATCACCATGGATGTAACTCGTGAAAATTTTCGTAGTATGATTTTTACGACATTAAGTGTAATTTGACAGTTCAGCGGTGCTTCGCTCGGCTTCAAACTGCATTTGGCGATGAAGCACCATGCAAGATGACTATTTGTAGTTGGTTTGTAGAATTCAAACGCGGTCGTGTGAATCTCAGTGACGAATTTCGTGATGGTCACCCGGCCACTGCTGTGAACAACAAAAACAACGATGCCGTGCGCTGTATGATCAAAACAGACATGTGACATACCGTGAGATTCGGGCATCTTTAGGCATAAGCATGAGTCAAATACAATCGATATTACACAAACATTTGGATCTGAAAAAGCTGTGCTCTCGTTGGATCCCACACAATTTGACTGAGGCTCAAAAAATGGATCGCGTCACTTGGTGCAATGCCATATTTACCAGATTCAACGAAGGGGCGTCAACTTTGGTGTGGGTTTGGTATTTGGTGTGGCGTCATCTGTTACTATGTACAGATGACGAAACATGGATCTATAGTTACGATTCCAAAACAAAGCAACAATCGAGCGTATGGGTCTATCGAGATGAGCTGAAACCAACCAAACTGGCGCGCGTGCAAACTGCCTCTAGCGTAAGATTGCATCTTTTTTTAATAAAACTGGACACGTGGCTACTGTTGCTTTGGTGAATCGTTGTACCGTGAATAGTGATTGGTACACGACCATTTGGTTGTAGAAAGTTATTGACAAACTCCGTAAAAATAACCGTAAACGCCATATCACCTTGCACCACGATAATGCCAGTTCAAGGCCAGATAGACAAATGAATTATTGAAGGTGAACAACGTTGACCTTATCCCGCGTACAGTCCAAAAATTAGGAACCAGTTAGGCGGTCAACGTTTTTCATCTCCTGAAGAGGCTGTCGACGAGTATAAAAATATGTTTCAGAGATTGTCACGAAGGAGTGGCATAAATGTTTTCAAAATTGGTTCATTCGTATGAAAAAGGGCATTAACGCTAACGGAGCATATTTTAAGAAACAATAAATTCAATTCTGATCATTTATAGTATTTTTTTCTTATTCATTCCGGAAACTTATAGTGCACCACACGTAACAGTAGAGCTCCGTATGTAGCAGTTCGTCCAGGGAAGTACTGCCTACTAACCTTACCTATTTCTGCCGCCAAGCAGTAATGTGACTATTACAGCGTTCCGGTTTTGAAGGGTAAGGATGTGATATTACAGGCACATGGGTCTTCTCAACTTACTGTCCCAGGAGTGGCAGTGCTCCTCGGATCTTTGCGATTTAAAGGTCGGAATGACCCTGCAACTGTTATGAACAGGTGTGTAGCTTACCATCAGGCGCACGACTTATACCTCCCGTCACTTATACTTATAAAAATGTAACACTACTGATGTGGTTCGCAAAGACATCAAATAAAATATAGTTTTGTTGGAGTGTATTTAAAATTGTATCTTAAATTAAGTAATAAGGAATACTATTTACCAATGTTGTGCCGGCGATCAATACGATACTAAAAATGACAGAGAGGATTGAAGCACTGAATATGATTGAATAAAGCGATAGGTCCATCCTTTTTGTCCCAGGGATTGTGGCATACTTTACGCTGTCTTTATCAACCATATCCAGTATGTAGCCCAATGAATATAGGCCCAAATACAATTCCATCATCTGAAAATAAAAGCAATAGTAATGATATAGGTAACAATAACGTACATACTCACAGCACCTCATTAGGAACTTGTGTTTGTCTACGTAGTCACATATTACACCAAAACTCATGAGAGAAATAAATGTAGGCCGTACAAATATTTCTCCCGGCCCGGGAATCGAACCCGGAACCTCTGCGTGTCAGGCCAGCATGGTAACCGTTCCACCACGGAGGTAGTTACATAAGAATCTTACAATAGTTTATCATAATTATAAATCCGCAAGCGAACCACTACTAGGCGCAGGTGGAGGCTCGGGGTTGTGGTAAATTATGATCTAAAACTGGCAACTTAGGGGTTTTACATTACAGTCCATCATGAAGGCTCAAAGTGTGTATAGACTTTACATGAGTTTGAAGAATTATAATAAGGACAATAACAAGCATTTATTCTAACTGCCTATCTAACTGCCTCCGTGGCCGAACAGTTACCATGCCGAACTGCCACGTAGAGGTCCCAGGTTCGATTCCCGGGCCGGGAGAAATATGTGTATGGCCTCCATTTATTTTTCTCGTGAGTTTGGGTGTAATTTGTGGTTGTCTATGAGTGTGTCCATAGCACCCGCGACACAGGGTTTCCCTAGTGCGGGGTTATGTTGAGTGTGTGCGTTATTATTATTATTATTATTTCGGACCTGAATAATTTACTAACAAACCTATGAACTAACCGACAAGTAGATAGTTAGATATACACTTTATTGCTCACAGCAGCAGGAAGAAAAATAGTACATAGACAGCTTAAAACCATTGTGGGTGATCTCTTCCAGACAACCTTTGAGATATAGGAAAGCTAATCAGAATGGGATACGTAATAAAATTTAAATTGTATAGACAAACAAAACTTAACATTATATTTTATCAAATAATAAATAACAATATATTATACCAGTGGCGAGCCGTCCAAATAATCCGATTTCTACCGGCTTGCCTACAATTTTCCACGTATCATCAAATATCATAAATATTGTAAAGTAATTTATTACATTTTGTGCTTAATTTTATGTGTAGAATAATTAATCAGTGAAATAAAGTGTACTAGTGTATTGTGTGCTAAGAAGTTTGTCAAGGCAACTGTTCTTTGTTTTGCTCCGGTTTTACTAAAGACAATTTTCACGCTTCGCTACTGTAGTATACCTACATGTATATATTAGTACCTATATATAAATATACCTATACAAACGACTATTTCGTTCTGAGTAGATCACTGAACAACAACTATAATAAGTTGCTTAATTGACCTACCAACAACGTTGGTGTAGTATAGTTACGACACAGTCTATGGCATTAAGAAATATTAATTGGCAACACCGATATAAAAGTAAAATGTCGTAATTCAACGCCTTAGAGGATGGAAAAAAAGTCTGGATTCCATGCCTTCAACATGCAAAGGTTATTGCTAGTAGATGGCCCAATGATCTATGAAACGTAAAAAGTTATGAAGTTA